TTCAGGTCACTGTTGCTCCCGTACGATGCCAGCCAGCTCCACTATGAGTGATGCTTCCTCTCACAGCTCACTGTAACAAATGGAGTGTCATCCTGCGCTGTGGTAAAGCCTGACCCCTGTATTGATTAACCCTCATCATCCAATTTCTCCCCCAGCCTTGATTAATGGCTCACCGTTGTTTTTACATTAGCCATCAAATCTGTCTTTTCAGGTTATGGTGGACAGGCTAATGGCCTGCTGTTATTCTCTCCTGGATTCTAGTTCAAAATCCCTTGCCCTTTAAATATTTTTAATGAAACAACGCTAATGCACTTTGTTTTTACACAGTTTTTTTATTCATTTAATTTCTGTGTTTCTTATTCCTTGCAGTGCCTCTGTGTTATGAAGTATTTTTTCCCAAAAATCTATAGAACAAGTCAACGTTTTAAGAATATTTCCTAACATTCCCATTAATTTATTTACAAAACATTTTGTGAATGTTCGAAATGTCTTATTTCAGAATGTTTTTCAGAATGTTCTGGAAAATGTTAGCAGTATGGTAGATATAGGGGTATAGTAGATAGTATAGGGGTATGGTAGATATAAGTGTGATAGATAAGCTGAGTCTGTGGATCGACTAATAATGACTGTGAGCTTTGTATTCAAAAGCAGGATCCAGTTTGTATATCTTGCAAATAAATGACAAAATATGCATAATGTGCAGCAAAATAAGACTTTCAGCCACATGTCTGAATAAAAAAAATCTACATATATGTTAAAAATGACCTCCGCGTGTTCTTTACACATAGCTGCGACACAGCTGTCATCTGGACAGAGAAGATCTGGTGAATTTATCAGAAAATATGGCCGTTCTTCACGGCAAAGGCCACACATGAGGCTAGAGAGTTATGAGTGCTTGGATGAGATGAAAGTGGGGGTCAAGAATATTAACGGAGGGGCTTTCCTTCATTGATTTATTTCAATGAAACCTCAAAAAATTTGTTTCCAGTATGAATGTTACCTATACAACTCCTTATTTCTTCCATAAATATGAAAGTTTTATTTCATATACATCCAAGCTGTTGTTAGTAAAATACATGTTGTTAGTTACTAAATAGTAACTCACATTCTCATAACATTTACTATCTACTATACTTCCCATGTAAAATGTCTGTCATTGTTTTGTGTATAACAGTGTTAGAATGGCATATTCTCTATGGTGATTAGGTGTTAAATAAATGATAGGATTCTGGGTGGGTGGCTGAAGGGCTGCCAAAATGAGAAGATGACTCCTGTCTGGAGCTAGAAAAGACTTGCCAGCATTTGGCAGCCATGATCCATTAACCATAAATCCCCTCTCCCTTTATAGCCAAGCCTATTGTCTCAAAGCTCCATTAACCCCAACCAGCCTCTTAACTAATAAACACTGTTGTTGTCATAAAGCCAGACCTCAAAGCCCCTTTCTACATGTTTTCTCTTTAGGTCTCTAGGCCAACTGCTCATACACAATTTCACAATGGGATAGACATTTTTTTTTAATTCATAATCCGTCTAAAGCGGCATCCCAATTGACGCACTATACACTATGCGCACTATGTACTCATCTGTGTAGTGTATAAATTATATAAGGTTATTTTGTCATTCATAATCAGAGTCTGATAACCCCTCCCCCTCTGCTACGTAATTAAAGCTGTGACAGTTTAGTGTATGAAGTGTCCAACATTCCACACTTCGTTTTTTTCCGGTTAAGTGCATCGTACCCGTGCACTTTTTCTTTTTGAAATCTTCAGTGTGAACACAGTACATGCACTAGTTATACTACAATAGCATAGAATAGTGCATAAGTACTGTATGTGAATTGGAATGCACCTTAAAATCTTTTGGAAGATCTTTAATAGCAAGCTAGCTCTGTGCCAAAACAGGACGGGAGAAATTAATTGATTTATTTAGGCTACACATACACTATATTCAATATCAAAAAGTGTCAATAAAATAGTTCAACCTATTTTAACTGTTTTATTCCATATGTAAGGAATTTTAGATGTATTAGAGTTACATATTGTTAGCTTAGCAACATACTAATCCCAAATGTTACTGGAATTCAAAGGGTGTTGAAGGGATGTTGCATTTTTGTAGGCCAAAACCTGGAAATGAGTTGGCATTTGAACACTTCCAATTCCATAGTGTTAGAGTAAATGAGTTTCTTTAACTTGTTTTAGTTAAATGCCTGAAATAAGGTCTGTAATAGCTCCATATTGTTTTTTGTTTCATTCAATTTCATAAAATACATCAGCATTCCTTTGTAATTTTTTAAATAATTTACTTGCCTTGAAAAAGGCAGTTGCTAACAAGTGGCTAAATGGGACTAAAGAGGGTGTCTGGGATATTAAACATCATCAAGCTGAACAGGAAAACGTACTCGGTTACTAATGTAACCTCTGTACCCTGAGATACGGGAAAGAGTACTGCATCGCTAGACGCTTATGGGGAAAACTCCTTTTCTCTGATAACTGAAGCCTTTTTTAATAACGCAGTGTAACTGCACGGCCATTGGTTCGTGTAGTGAAATGAAAACGTGCAGTTACATGACAAGGTAGCAGAACTGCATGAGCCTATGGCCATGAAGCCCGCCAGAGTGGGCGGGGCCACCTGGCAATATAAGCAGGCATTCTGGCATAGGATCCTCAGGTAAATTAGACTGAAACAAAGACACTAAGTCGTGCAGCATCATAGCACAGCTAGCAATGCAGTACTCGTTCCCGTATCTCAGGGAACCAAGGTTACGTTAGTAACCGAGTACATTCCCTATCGATACTTCACTCGTACTGCATCACTAGATGCTTATGGGGAACCAGTACAATCCCGCCGTGCTATGACAGAGGAACGACTATATAAGAACTGGCCTTCAGCATCTAAGGGCTCAGCGGGACCAAGTATAAGCAGGGAAAGCCCCACGGTTGGGGGAAAAGCATAAAGTAGGAGGTTGGGCCAGTCGTGGGCCAACGTGTCCATATCTTTCGAAAAGTAGGTTGGGCAATAAGAGTTGTCTTTTGAGGCAAATACGTCGACTTCTGCCCTGCCAAAGATCTCCCAGATTCTTAGAACCATTTGCAGATGGAGCATCCACTCCTCTGAATGGATGTGCAGACATGCTCCGAGACAGCATGTCTGCACTTTGATTCAATATGCCCGGCATATGTGCTGCCCTCAATGAGCGCAAGTTGAGGTTTGCTCATTCCAAGAGGCATTTTACCATCTCGTAAAGGCGCTTTGAGTTGAGCCTACCTTGGTGATTTATATATGGTGTCCCTTCAGGTCTGGTAAGAAGGTCTGAAGGGCTCGACATACTGCCAGCATTTCGAGGCAGTTGATATGTTGCCGTTCCTTCCCTGTCCGACCAGGAGCCAAAGGTCGGTCTGCCCTCACACAGAGCTCCCCAACCCGTGTTGGATGCATCTGTCAAGACAACCTTCCTTCTGTGGACATTACCCATGGTCACACTCCGCTCGAACCACTGATGGTCTCTTCAAGGGGCCAGGGCTGCTACACAGACCTGGTTCACCTTGACTCGAAGGCGTCCGTGACACCACGCCTGGGGCGTAACTTGCAGTTTCAGCCAGTGCTGTAGGGGCCTCATGCGAAGTAGGCCCAACTGTGGCACTGGAGATGCGGAGGCCATGATGCCTAGCATTTTTTTAAATGTCTTTAGAGGGCAAGAGGCTCCAATTTTGAAGGTGGCCACAAGCTACTGTATGACCAGTGCACGTTATGAGGGGCTGAGTCATTTGGCCTGAGTCGAAAACTGCCCCCAGGAACGAGATCCATTGGCTGGGGGACAGTGAGCTCTTGGCAAAATTGACCCTGAGTACTAGGCCCTCCAAGTGGCTGAGGAGGAGGGATTTGTGAGATAGTACTTTGGCCTCTGACTGGGCTAAAATGAGCCAGTCGTCGAGGTAGTTCAGAATGCAGACTCCCATCTGTCTCAGAGGGGAGAGAGCTGCATCTATGCACTTTGTAAAAGTGCGAGGAGCCAGGGACCGTGTATTGATATGCCACTCCCTCGAAGACGAATCTCAAGAATCGTCTGTGATGGGGGGCTATCTGGATGTGAAAGTAAGCATCTTTCAGGTCCGGAGAGAAGAACCAGTCCATATTTGCATATTTGCGAGAGGCTGCCATCCTTTTTGGGGACGAGAAAGTAACGGCTGTAGAAGCCTGACTCGCTCTGAGTTGGCGGAACCATTTCTATAGCTCCTTTTGCCAGTAAATTCATCACCTCAGAGTGCAGGACGTGAGTGTCCTTGCTCTGCATTAAGGTGGGAACCACGCGGCTGAAGTGCAGGGGTCTCCGAGCTAACTGAAGAGAATAACCTCATTATATGATCCCCAAAACCCAATCTGACACTCCGGGGATGGCACGCCAGGCCTCGGCCCGCGTGGCAAGGGGTTGGGCTGGTTCGGGTGGTGGGTCACCGTGAGGGGACTTGACACTCGTGATGAGTGAAAGAGGAAATGTGCTCTCTTTTTGAGAATGTTTGTGTTTTATTTTGACAGCGGATGGTTGTGTGGGCGCTTTTTGAACGGGCCCAGCATTCACAACAGCATTTACAACAAATATACTGCCGTCGGCACCCGTAACCGAACAGGCTGCTTGGAGGCATAATGGAGGTCGTTTGGGGGTTGGTCTGGCTGTAGCGAGAATTTGCCCCTTCCTCTTCCTGTACCGCAGATCAGGACGATGCCTGAGGCGCCGGGTCCAGCGTCAGCTTGGGCTGGGGTCCATGGCGTTTCGGGAACGGGTAGCGTATGGCAGAGCGGGAGCGCTGTCGGGGCTCAGACTTTTGAGTAGGCTGAGCGGGCGAAGGCACAGGTTTCACTGGCTGCTGAGCTGATGCAGGCTTGGGGCAACTGGAAGCAGTTGCGGAGTTTGAATGCTTGGGCAAGAAGTGTCGCATCGCCTGGGACATCTTCTGTGCGGTGGTGAAGCGCTCTGCAAAGCCCTCGACGGCAGGTCCAAAAAGCCCCGTAGGAGAGACCGGAGAGTCGAGGAAGGGAACCTTGTCTGCCTCCTTGATCTCAGTCAGGTTTAGCCATAAGTGGTTCTCGAGCACCACTTGACTGGCCATTGACCTGCCGATGGCCTGCACTGTTGCCTTTGTGGCTCGTAGGGCCAGGTCTGTTGCGCTGCGCAGCTCCTGTCGGCACCCTGGCAGGAACCATTCATCCAGACGACTACGAGTAGGCTCCTCCGGCATAGACCACTCTAAACCCAGCTCCTCGACCGCTTTAGAGAGGACACAGAAAAGCAACTCATAGAGCGGAGCAGGAACAGCAGAGTGGCGCAGGTCGCTGAGTCAGCTTCTATCCGCTGAGAAGGCATGTCAATGGCAAGCAGCTTCAGGTCTCATAGATCAGCGAAGAGATGATCGTCGTCGCTGAAGGAGAATTAAACTGAGGATGCTATGCCAGAATGCCCGCTTATATAGCCAGATGGCCCCGTCCATTCTGGCGGGCTTCATGGCCATAGGCTCATGCTCCCTCGTCATTGGTTCATTTTCATTTCACTGCATGGACCAATGGCCGTGTAGTTATACTGCATTATTAAAAAAAGGCTTCAGTTATCGGAGAAAAGGAGTTTTCCCATAAGCATGTAGCGATGCAGTATGAGTGAAGTATCGATAGGGAACTCATGTACTCCCTAGTCTGCTTTTACAGCCTCTTTGTGTTTGCGTATTCTCTTGCAAACAATTCTAAATCAAACATTCATTATTTTTTTTTTCAAATAAAGACTGAAATGCAACCATAGTGCTTTTAGCTTGTTTATAGGCTATGTTTAGATTTTTCTTCTCATAATTGTATTTAAGCTTCAAAATTCATTAACGTTGTATTAATTTGTGAAGGTTAGCATGATGAACAAAATGCGTAAAAATCATAATCACAGAGCTTATGTTGTCCAATAATCTGAAAACCAGCATAAAAATTTTACTGGGTTTTTGTTGAGGGAACCAAGGTGATGCTCAGCTCTGGCCTACAAAAATATGACATCACTGTAGCCATCGATTAGAGCAATATTTGTGTGAAAGAACATTCTAAACCAGTCAATGGTGAAGGTCCATTTTAATTGACAGCTGTCTATGTAGACAGTAAACAGCAAGCCAAATAACTAGGTTTTGAAACAGTATTGAGGAGTATTCAGAGTATACACTCCCTGATAGCACGTGCACATCTCAGAGATGTCTATTTGATGTGAGTGTTTACATATTTTGTCTTTAATATGTTTATGATTTAGAATGTATGTAATACTGACTTTTTAAAGGCATTTATCAGATGTTGTATAAAGCAGATGCTTTCCAGATGAAGCACTCTTTAATATACATCTTGGAGACGTACGTGTGCTATCAGGGAGACGATCTTTTATGATGAATTTGACTGAAATTCTTAATCATCATTTACCACTGAAATTTTCTGTAGTAAAGTGCAATATGTTTGTGTATTGTATTTTTGAGGGCAGTGTGTCAAAAGAGGGCCCCTGATGTGTCCTCAGCATAGCCATCCATCAGAGAGCTCATAGGACTAGAGTGATAATCGAGCTGAGAGTCTCTCAGAGCTCTGCTCAGTTTGAGTGTAATTGCCATAATTGTGGTAACTTTGTATCAGGTTGAGTGGCATCATCATGTCAACGAGACAGTGTCTATACTGGAGAACCCTTTCTGTTAATTAGCCTGAATTGATTTCAGCAGCTGACGAGAGTGATGTTGATATACTATGCATAGACTTCACATTCACCACATTCACCACAGCTTTACATGTCAGATGGAATACATCAAATCAAAACAAAGATTTTGGATGACAAGAAAGTTTGGGTATGGATATGTCAATTTGTATCTAATTTTTTAGATTTTTAGGTGCTAAAATCTCTGTCCTGATGTCCAGAGTAATATGCGATTGCAAGGTACATGGTGGGTGAAATTATATTTCTTACCAGCCATGAAACTGTATTTTGAATTATTTTAGACAAAATAAATACGTAGCAGTCTGATTGTGTGTATTTGTCTTGTTTTGCTTATGTCACTTAAATCAGCAATGTTGAAACTATCATTCTTACTATTTCACTTGAACCTTGAAAACTGGCAGTACATAATGAATGTACTCTACATTTCTGCAGAGGTTTATGCCTTTGTATTATTATATATATCAGTCATGCATAACAAGAATGAGATTTATGTACAGGACTAATAATGAGAATTATACACAGTTACCAGGCTTTTATATTTAAACCAATCTAAATATTACTAATTGAATTATATTTAAACCACATTCATATCTTTTAAATGTTTAAATGTAATTGTTTAATGCTGTCTATAAGGAATTTCAATAAATACATTATTCAGTTTTCAATAGGATAAGAAAAAATAAAACACAATCATTTTGTAAGCACCACCAAATAAACAGCACATAAGCATGCTAACAAGTAAGCAAACAGCCGCAAATTGGCCACTGCTGAAATACAGAGCAGACTAAAGAGCTGTTCTCCTTTAGCAAATGGAGAGGTGATTATGGTAGATCGCTGTATTTCTCCACACTTCCTCTTCACCTGTACCTTCAGCACCATGCGACTGTTTTCAGAAAGCCTCCTTTAGACAAATGAGTGTTTACACTGTCATGTCCCACCACTAACATGTCATAAAGTCCCATCAGAGCCAATTATACCTCATATTGATTCAGACACATTCTAAACAGTACAGACATCACCCATTGGTGGTCATTAAAGCTGTTGAACAACAGTGAGCGTTTTTTGAATTGCCCTCACCTCAGTGGTGCTCTCTGTGAGTCCCATATTCCATAATGTGTCTTCAATTTGAAAAGGCAAAACACATAAAATGTAATACACCATTTTCTCTACGCAGCAAAAGTCACACAGATTCAGTGTGTGAACAAAGGAGACAGCAACAAAACAATCATTCTCATCAAAAGGACTGAAGTAGGGTGATATTTGCCCTGTCTGCTATAAATATGACCTGGGAAAATACTGGAAAAATAGCCAGAATAATTCTGGTACAAGGTCAGTCCACTTTGTTGGACAAAACAAAACAGCAAAATTTTTCAAAATCAACGTTTTCATTTAAAAACGTGGTAAGTGTGAGAACCAGTGAAAATGTTTAAATTCACTAGTGAAAAGCTTCTCTTTTAAAATAATTTAATAAAAATTTGATTTGAAAATGTTTGAAAGAGCATCTTGCGCTTCAATAGAAGGAATAACGCATGACTGTCTGTACAAAGAAGTCACATAATCGACAACAAATAGTGCAGAATCATACTGTTTTTTTCCTCTATTTGGATAGTAATTATTTCTTAGATGAACGTCTATTAAATTGTATGATAAAACTCAGGAATCTGTATGTCAATTAACTTACTGAGGACAAAGGAGAACCTGGAACATGAATTCAGTCACATGCTTATAATGCATATAATGTGAATATAATCAACGTCTATATGGTATAATATTTAAATCATCATAAATGGTCATGTTCAAACACGTGGAATTTACTGATAGTTTATACACCCCTTGCTGCCATTAGAATGGCACATTTTAACAGTTTAAATGATATTCCTTTTAATTTTCACTGTGTTGAGGTGGTGACTTAATTGTTTCTAAAAACGTATATATTTCTAACATTTTTTTTTTTATACAAGCCTCTATTTTATCCAAAATACACAAATGCTTGCCATTTAAAGTGTCAATATTGCACACAACAGTGGTCAGAAAAGATTTTAAAACCCTTTTTCTATGAATTCCTCCCTGTAAACTGTATATCAATTTGGATGGAAATTAAATGACCAAATGACAGTTTTTCAAAACTCCAAAACAATGTATTTATTTATATAACATTCCATTTTAATTATTTACTCACAGATTTTCAGATGGTTTCAGATCATTTTCAAAAAAATTTTACACTCCATGGATTTTTGGAAGGTTTTTGGTCAGTGAATATCATAGTTTCATGTGCATTTCAACAACTATAATGCCAGCCTTGTTAGCAATAATTATATCTACTCCTGTTGTGACGTACATTTTAATATCCCCACAATTCAATTAGCACATGTAGCATATGCTCTGGAGAGAGGGTAAAACTATTAAAGAACAGAGCTCCCAGCAGAAGATGTGTTTTCTCAGCATGAGCGTGTCTCGCTGGAGTAGACGGCCCCTGGCGCACAGCAAAGAGAGGAGAGTCATATGATACATAAACCCTACTTCATATTCACCGCATGAAGCGCTCACTCTCTAATAATGGAGAAACAAATAAGCGTAACCGCTCTGATGCATATCACTTCATAATTTAATTACATTTTGATATGGTGCAGTGTGTGTGCTGCAGTGTATGTTTAAACTCTGGCAGGGGGTGATTTTACTGAGGCAGTGACAGTCTAAAATGACGGGAATGCGCAGAAAGATGGTGTCTTGATGTCCAGCAATCATTCAATGACTCATAAAAGCTGATGTAAGCAATGAAACCTTGTGTATATAGAAAGTAAACAACATGTTTCAATGTTTCAGTTTTTCCATTAAATTATACTAAAACCTGTTTTTAAGCAAATGTTTGCAAATGGGTGTGCGAATCACAGTAGGTGATTTTGTTGACTTTGTTAGAACAATTAAGCATATTTTACATTTTAATTTGTTACTGTACTGCAAAATACTGCTATATATATATATATATAAGTTATTTATGTAATTGTACAATATGTTGTACCATTCAATTATTTAAAAATTGATTGATTAATTTTATTATGGCCTGGCTATATATATAGAGTATATACAGTGGGTACGGAAAGTATTCAGACCCCCTTACATTTTTCACTCTTTGTTATATTGCAGCCATTTGCTAAAATCATTTAAGTTAATTTTTTTTCCTCATTAATGTACACACAGCACCCCATATTGACAGAAAAACACAGAATTGTTGACATTTTTGCAAATTTATTAAAAAAGAAAAACTGAAATAACACATGGTCCTAAGTATTCAGACCCTTTGCTCAGTATTTAGTAGAAGCACCCTTTTGATCGAATACAGCCATGAGTCTTTTTGGGAAAGATACAACAAGTTTTTCACACCTGGATTTAGGGATCCCCGTACCCACTGTATATATATATATATATATATATATATATATATATATATATAAAAGTTTACACAGTATACTTGCAAAAAGACATAAAAGTTTAGAAGTCATAAATTACACAAACATAACAAAAACTTAACTTTGACAGTATTTTACAGTAAAATTAGTTACATATAATGCAATATTAAACCATTTACAGTTTTTTCACTACACATTGTAACGTAACATACAGTTAAAGGGATAGTTCACCCAAAAAAGAAAATTAGATTTTTATCTGCTTACCCCCAGGGCATCCAAGATGTAGGTGACTTTATTTCTTCAGTAGAAAACAAACGAAGATTTTTAACTCAAACCGTTGCAGTCTGTCAGTCCTATAATGGCAGTCAATGGGCTCCACAGCTTTGAGAGTCAAAAAACATACACAAACAAAACCAAATTAAACCTTGCGGCTCGTGACAATACATTGATGTGTAAAGACATGAAACGATCGGTCTGTGCAAGAAACTGAACAGTATTTATATACATTTTTACCTCTGATCCACCACAATGTCCAACTGTCCTGAGCGCGTTGTAGCGAATCAGCTCATGGGGAAATATGAATAATTAACCATAACTAATTATGATTAATTATTAATATTTTAGATCCACTGTAAAAAAGTCCATTTCTCCTGTGCATTTGTGTCCCTTTGTTTCTGGAGAAAGCAGAATGAGAGCCGGCTCGCATTCCACAAGGTTGTAAATGTATCGGGTTACCATGAAACCAGGGTCTTGTTCGGCGTCCTGGGGTGTTACAAAGTATTTGTGAAATCTAGCTAACAAAATATATATTGTGTGTTGGAGTGTTCCAGACGCTACAGCGTTCACAACATCCGGCGCGTGACGCATGTACGTGCTCTGGCATAGTAGACGCATGAGCAGAAGCGATCTGTCACGCGTATACATCACTCATTGGATGTTGTGAACGCGCTCAGGACAGTTGGACATTGCGGTGGATCAGAGGTAAAAAATTATATAAATACTGTTCAAATTCAGTTTCTTGCACAGACCGATCATTTCGTGTCTTAAGGCCTCAATGTATCGTCACGAGCCGCAGGGTTTAATTTGGTTTTGTTTGTGTATGTTTTTTTTTTACTCTCAAAGCCGTGGAGCCCATTGACTGCCATTATATGACTGACAGACTGCAACAGTTTGAGTTAAAAATCTTAATTTGTGTTCTACTGAAGAAACAAAGTCACCTTCGTCTTGAATACCCTGGGGGTAAGCAGATAAACATCAAATATTCATTTTTGGGTGAACTATCCCTTTAAACAGTTGACAGGTTTTTAATGTAGCATTTTTACAGTTTTTGAATGTAAAATTACATTTACAGCAATGAGAAATACAATACCAAACACATTACAGTAAAGGGAATTGGGGGCACAATGTTTTTAATTAAAAGTTCTTAAATAAGTAATATTACTTAGAAGTAATATGTTGTAATTTGTGGCCACTGACAGTTGTCAGTAGCAGTTGTGGTTTGAATGAAATCAAGATTAGTACTTTGATCCCAAATGAAAAACTGCTCTGTTGTGTTGGTCGTATTTTTGAGCCATTCCTTGAGCCTTTCACAACACTGCACATTGTCTCCCTTATCGTACACACCCATATAAGGTCATGGAGTAACTCTATTAATTGGCTGATGAGTTCATTCAACTGTGTCAAATAAATCCAAAATGTGCATGAAAATGGATTTTCCAGAAATGGTTGAAGAGAAAACCCTTGCTCTTACATATTGCCCAAAGTCACTGCTAAATTTAAATAAGAGACCAGCTTTACTAAGTTTGCATAGTTAGTTACCTTGTTTAATGTACTTTGGCACTCTACAAAGTACTGCTTCCTCCAATACAATGTTCTCACCTTATCCATCTCTGCTTTATCTCACAGCCGGGATCTCTCAACAGGTTATGCTTCCATTAACACCACACTCACAAATGTTAAGGAGAGAACAGCGGGTGCTAATTTCTGACCTGCGTTAACGAGGTTGGAACTCAGGAGGAGCCTGTAGGGTTGAACTCCAGGTCCCAGATGGCATCTAAATGTGGGTAAAGGCCATGTGGCTCTCTTTCTTTCGGTGATTTTATGCTGTCTTCCATTCAAATTCAAATGTGGGATATATGGTCACACACTCGCAAGTCCAGTTTGAAAATGTACTGTTTGGCTGACCAATGGCGGATAGGGGAGCGTTTGGGAAACCTGTTTGTAAACATTATTTTTACAATACCATTTAGTAATTGTAGTGTCACAGAAATTACCTTTAATACAGTAAATGCCCTGTAGCATTTACAACTACCTTAACATCCCCTCATGGCAATATTTGCATGTTGCTGCCATTTGGAGCCACACTTTCCTGTTAGTATGCCAACCACCACCAGTGTCCTTTCCCTCCCCGACCTCGTGGGGGAAATAGGGGATGGGTGTAACCTCGCTTCTCCTCTTCAACCCCAGCCTAAGATCTGGATTAACCCCCTACGCCCCATTACAATAGGGGCACATGTCTGCCTACCCACCACAGGCCCATTCAGACCTGCTTTACTCACAGACTAATAAGGATTAGTGTTAATGAGACATAAGGAATTAAGTATGAATGAAGACCTCCTTAAGCACTCATTCAATGCATTCTGCACCTCCTCGTTCTCCTTCTGTCTCCATTCTGTGTTTGAGCACAAGGTGTAATCCTCTTGAAAACCAAAGGTAGGAGGCTCATAGGAATATAGGCTCAGATCCTATACAGCTGTATTTTATTCAGCTTTCTGCCATCTGTCTTGTCTCTTTTCACCTACCCCTCTCAGCTTGCTATACTTGCACTCACTTCCCTCTCTTCACTTCTTTTTATTGCAGGGCCATTGTTTAATTCTTCCCTTTTGTAACGTATGAAGCTTTTCAAATTAATCATATGAATGCGATGTGAGATGTGAAGCTTACGAGGATATTTATTTACAGATTGTGTTTATTGTGCATAGTCAGAGATTTGATCCTCTTCAAATTCAGCATTCTACACACTTATGTTCCAAACCTGTATGACTTTCTTGTTTCGTAGAACACAAAAGCAGATATTTTGAAGTATGTTCATGCTGCTCTTTTGCATACAACAAATGTATCAGACTAGCTGGGACTGTCAAACTCCAAAATCAACAAAGCACGCCATAAAGTAGTGGGTTAGAACCTAAAAACAGGGAAATACTGTAAAATGCTAAATGCAAATAATAATGTAAAGTAATAAAATTACTTTATAAGGGAGAAAACGTTTCTATACCTTTTCTTGTTGACATCATTTGCTATACATCCAATGGTATTTTAGCTCAAATTTCATAGACGCTAATTCACTTCGTAAGGTAATTTATTTTAGAAAAATGTTAACATGGACAGGTTGTCCAACAAGCCCCCATTTTCAAAAAACATGAACAAAACTATGCAACATAAAAGAAAATACGACCCGGGTGAAATATATGGTTTGCGCCTACAACAATGTGTTTTGTGCAGTGATTTACTGAAATTAATTTTATTGTTGATGTTACAGATATTAACATTTTTTTAGTTTAATTATTTTACGTATTTGTTGTTACGTATTAATAGATTTAAATCTTTGATTTTAAGGACAATTTAGTTTAGTTCTGTATGATAAATAAGTATGGTAAGTTATTGGTTTACAAATACTGTTGGATTGCCCCTTGATAGTGTTACATTTGAGATCTGAAGCAAAAACCAATTGGGAACTACTTTCATAAAGCACCATAAAGGTAGTCTAAATGCTGTGTTTGAAGTCTTTTGAATAGCAGTGTCAGCATTCTACCTAAAATGTATTTTTGTGTTCCACATAAGAAAGAAAATCAAATGGTTTTGAGACAACACAAGGGCGAGTAAATTGTGGCATAATAAACCATTTTGGCTGAACTGTTCCTTTAAGTCAAATCAAGTGTTTATGTTCTAAAATTGCTTAATTTCCTCAGCAAGACTTCCTATCTACTTTGTATGAATGCAATTCACCTGTGGGCATCCTGTGTGTCTGCCTTTACATTGAACTCTATTCTGCTCTCTGTTTGATACCACTGCTCATTATGCACCACTCTCCCTCCTCTCCAATTACTGTCCATACAAGTCATTTAGTGAGGGGTCTCAGACAAATGGGGACACTCACTGTGCCCTAACCCAGAACCCCCCTTGATCCAGGCCACAGGTACTGCCCAGCCTAAAATAAATAAATAAATGAATAAATTACTCAAGAGCAAGTTCAACTGGGGCTTTATTGCATTTATTAATAAAATTAATATTGATGTCAAATTATATATACAATTACAAACATTTTCATTTATATTTGATTGTAGAGAGGATGAAGTTTAGAGAGCAAATTAATTTTATATCTACTGTAATTTACTTAAGTGTGAACTGAATGTAGTGTTTCAGACACTTAATTACATGTTAATTGCAATTATATGAAAATGTGTTATAGTTTAAATTAATATTAAATCCAATATTTTACCCAAATTAGGACATAATTATGCCATTTCAAAATTACTTTTATTGAAATATGGTTAAAGTGTACTGCCAAATACATTGAATATATGGTTAACTAAAATATACTTTAATTATAATAAATAATAAATTACACTTTTAACAAAAATATACTTTATTCGTTTTCATGTAAAATATGTAATTTAAAATATTTAGTTAAATGTAATTTTATATGTCATGTTTTAAATATTATTGTAATTACATGAAGGAGACTGGAGAGGGTTTGTTTATTTAATGAATAAATAATAACTAAATCATAAATGTAAAATTAAAATAAATGTTTTTTTTAAACAAACAATTAATTAATTAATTAATTAATGCATACATTCATTCATACATACAGTACATATATATTTCTTTTGGTTGACTGCATGTGACAGAGATCAGAAAACTGAGAATGTTTTGTTAAAGTAATCAAATTTGAGCTTAAAGGGGTTTTTAAGGGGTTCTGCTGACCAAAAAATTAAAAAATAAAAAGATTGGGAATCCCTATATTATATTATATTATATTATATTATATTATATTATATTATATTATATTATATTATATTATATTATATTATATTATATTATATTATATTATATTATATTATATTATATTATATTATATTATATTATATTATATTATATTATATTATATTATATTATATTATATTATATTATATTATATTATATTATATTATATTATATTATATTATATTATATTATATTATATTCACAACTGCTACTGGAACTGAAGGAAAACAGTCTTTAATAGTCCAAACTGGAGGGAAAAACAGGGTAGCCAGGAGACACACACACACATAGCACCGGGATAAGACGTTTAACACAGCACGCTAGTCACAGGAAACACTGGGCTTAAGTACACGATTAAACGAGGGGATGATGAGACACACCTGGACTCAATGAAACACAATAGGAACAGGAACAGGAAGGAAACCAAATATGGGCATGTCACATACGAGGGAAAACTAGGTCATGGAAGGCACATGGGGAGAAAAACAACACAGACAGTCCATATTTCTGACATATCGCCTCCCTCCCGGAAGGTGCGTCCTCGCACCGAAGAAACAACAGAAGGAGGGACGGTTGGGAACCCGGGAGGGGGCCAGCAGACAGAGTCCAGGGAGGTGACGACGGAGGGAGGAGCCAAGGAGGAAACAGGAGGAGCCAGGGTGGATCAGACGGAGGGAGGAGCCAGGGAGATGACAGGAGGGACTTGGAGCATGCGGTGCCAGGTGGGACCCAGGCCAAAGCCATAATGGCGACCCACGGTGGAGCCGACGGAGGGAGGAGCCATGGAGGAGGAAGGGCTGACAACTCCAGGGGGCCGACCAAGGGCGATGGAGCAGGTGGCGGAGGAGCCCGAGGCGGAGACGGAGAGCCTGGTGACTCCTTGGAGCCTGGAACTGAGGGCTCTGATGACCGATGCGAAGGCGGGGATCCAGAAGGCCACGGTGGATCCGGAGAGACAGAGGACCAAGGTGGAGCCGAAGGGAAGGAGGAGCCTGACGGAACCAGAGGGATGGAGGGATGAGACGCAGCCGGAGGAGTGGAGTCCCGAGGCACTGTAGTGACAGGCGCAGATGCCGCTGCCCACACCGGTTAAAATGCGCGCCATGCAACCAATGACCCCGGCAAGCGGAGGAGCCCGCGCCGTGACTCCCGCCCACCATCAGCTGCCAAGCCGTCGTCCTGACAGCCCGGAGAGGAGGGAAGAGTAGCCTATGCGATCGGCCCAGCCCCCAAGTTGTCTCAAAATAGTTCAAATTTGTGTTTGATGTGTGTGTGGGATCATTAAAAAAATGCATACATGTGCACAAAAGAGCTTTTTCCTCCTCACTCAGTCAATGTAGCGCAATGGCTGTTCTATAACATGTGTGCACTCACTGGCGCATCCAACGACCAAGACCAAGTCAGTTCCTGAGCGCGTGGAAAGCTATTCCGGGAATCTCACACTGGTTACTCGGTGTGATAGAGTGTGGGTACGCCCTTGAATTCAGATGCAGACCACCCTGTGAAGTCTCTAACATTGCCTCGAAATGCCCTGGTTCTGAAACAAGAGGTATGCAATCTGCTCGAAAAAGGAGCGGTAGAACGAGTCCCTCCGAGCGAGCTGGAGAGCGGGTTTTACAACAGCCATTTTATGGTGCCCAAGAGAGATGCAGAACTCCACCCGATTCTAGATCTCAGGCCCATCAACAGAGCGCTCTGCAAGCGTGCGTTCAGGATGATAAAACAGATCCTGGTGCGAATTCGCCCCGGGTACTGGTTGCGTCCGTGAATTTAAAGGATGCGTACTTTCACATTCAGATAGCAGAGCATCACAGACGCTTTCTGAGATTTGCTTTCGATTTGCAGTTCTCGCCCCCCTCAGCCCTATATGCTATTGTTGCTGTTGTCTGCCCTGTACTCAGTGCAGCTCTTGCTATTCAATGTCTAATTCGATTGGTGTACCATCATCATCGTATGTGTTATACTAGGGTGACCATACGTGCCATTTTCCCAGGACGCGTCCTGGCCAGGATTTCTATATTGCCTAAAATATCTAGGTTTTGGCTTTGTTTGCGTGTGCAGACCGATCGGTGTATGACATCAAAATACCTCGAGAGCATTTTGAAAGCATAAGGAACCGTCTGTATGGTATTTTGATGTCATACACCAATCGGTCTGCACACGCAAACAAAGCCAAAACCTAGATATTTTAGGCAATATAGAAATCCTGGCCAGGACGCATCCTGGGAAAATGGCACGTATGGTCACCCTATGTTATACTGCTGCTTAACACCGTTATCTCTGTGCAGCCCCCCCCCCCCTCACAATACTGTGGTTGTTGTTGCTTCTGCCATTTTTCTCAGCGCAGCATACGTTATCACTGACCAGATATGCAAATTTCATATACCTGGGCTTTAGATGCTCATTGGCTTGTCTCCACCTATCAGCTGCGAGCCCGCCTTGCAAGCATCGCTATTGGTTGTGGGAATTGTGTGTTTTATCTTCACTGAGTATGTGACTTGTACAGGCTGCTCGTAGCCTCTCTCACGGCGGGATTGAATATCGTTCCCATAACGGAGAAATGTCTCCGTGATGTCTCGTGAAAGCTCGAGAGAGAACCTCTCCGGTTACTATCGTTACCTCGGTTCCCTGAGAGCGGGAACGAGACATCACAGAGGTCGCCGTGTTCGCTGCTCTACCAGCTAAGCGGCGTTCAGTATCAGATTCTGACGTAATTGTCGCATGCACCGCCTTTTATACTGCCTCTCGAGCGCGTCAGTATTTGCATGCGATTTGCATACTTCACAAAAATTGGACTGGCGTGAGCCAATAGGACTTCAGGAAAGGTTGGAAGGGAAGGAGTTCCCATAACGGAGAAATGTCTCCGTGATGTCTCGTTCCCGCTCTCAGGGAACCGAGGTTATGATAGTAACCGGAGACGTTCTCTCTTCCATCGTCAGATTTATCCATATGTCTGCTCTTCTCTTACTCACACATATTGAAATTTTCAAACGTTTTATGCGACGTGCAACAATCAAGTGTGTTAGCTTATGTCCCGCCGGTTCATATGTATGCATCTAACCTCCGAACCACGCAGTATATTCGTTCTGATTGAATCTCTTCCCAAATCGTCCCTCCCTAATATTTTCGTCTCGTTTTTATTCGTTGACGAAAATGCTAATAGATTTACGTCATAGTTTTTGTCATTCAAATTGAGTTTTAGTTCGTTATCGTCTCCTTGTCGTCGGTGAAATGAATGTCATTGACGATAATTATGACGAAAATTATTCGTCAACGAAATTAACACTGGAAGGAAATCAGTCTTTAATAGTCCAAACTGAGGGGAAAACACAGGGTAGCCAGGAGACACACATGTAGCATCTGGATAAGATGTTTAACACAGCACACTAGTCACAGGAAACACTGGGCTTAAGTACACGACTAAACGAGGGGATGACGAGACACACCTGGACTCAATGAAACACAATAGGAACAGGAACAGGAAGGAAACCAAATATGGGCATGTCACACACACGAGGGAAAACTAGGTCAAGGGAGGCACATGGGGAGAAAAACACAACACATACAGTCCATATTTCTGACAAATATATTATATTATATTATATTATATTATATTATATTATATTATATTATATTATATTATATTATATTATATTATATTATATTCAAATATATTATATTATATTATATTATATTATATTATATTATATTATATTATATTAATCACACTGTTCACATTTGTACTTATATTTTGCAAAGGATTACTTGAAAACCCAACTTAAACTATATAGCTAAACAAAATGTGCTTGAATCCACCTTGTTACTCTAGTCTAGAATTTAAAGAAAATGGAGGAAGATGGAAAAGGGCAAAGTGTTTTCTAGGATTAGAGCATAAGGTAAGGTCATGAGGAAAAGCATGAGGGACCTTTTCTCCCCTGCATCCACTTCCATTTTTAACAGGCTCACCCTGGTCATTTCCAAGATATGAGATACACGTTCTGACATGAATTAGCCTAAGATAGACTGATATACACATATCCTTTGGGATTCAGAGCCCTTAACAAAATCCACCCTCCCTCCACATCTCCCCTCTTTTTCAAGAGGCTCTCTAATCTTTGTTCTCCTTTTGTTCTCCACCTGTCTGTTGACAATCATCTGTCTTTTGGCTGGCAGAAAGGCTGTCTCTCTCCTGCAGATATGCTATGAATTCAACTACCATTCAGTAAGAGAAATCAAATACTGTCTGTATGAGCATATGGAAATATAATACAGATCATACATTATAATTCAGAGCAGGACTGTAAAATAATGTGCCACCGCACTAACAATGTGAAACAAGTTACTGACAAAGTTTAATACTTATGGTTATGCCCCCCCACCCCCACCCCCAAATATGAACAACAGTAATAGTGATACTTAAACAAAGCACCACTAATAAAGTAATTGTTAAGCAAAATGAGATGTTTCTAGCTTTGTACTAAGTGTTATTAGCTTTTATGTACATTTTCACTGCTCACTTGCATTTTCATTGTCACTTTATAATTCCTATAGACTGTGTGATGTCAGTATATTGATATTTCATCAAGACCCAAGACAGTGAGAATCCCTCAGACCATGTGTGTAATATTCCATTACTATGAAGTCCTGCAGCACATAATATCCTATTAATGAACACTCTAAATTCAAAGGCAGACACTCATTTTGTGGGCAGTAACAGATTTAAGCAGAGGAATTGGCCTGTCTTTATAAATACTCCGATGAATGAGAAAAACCAAGAACAGGCTTGTGCTGTTACGTATGTGCGATTATATATGAGGCTGTGGACCAAACAATATCATATTCTCTATTGGAAAGCACTGCTCTTTCCTAACTTATGCCTATGGCAATATTTACTTAGCCGTCTATCTGCGCCTTCCAAAGCATGTTTTAATGCAGTGCTTTAAGGGTCATGATAGACTTTTGCAACTCTTTATTCGAGTATTTAACCAAATCTTCTTAACTAAGGTGAATTGCTTGTTGAAATGCATTAAATGGACACAAAATAATAATAATAATTATTATTATTATTATTTTTATTTATATAGCACCTTTCCAACACCCAAAGTCGCTTTACAGAGACAAATAAGGAACTGAACCAAATAAACATCAACATCAAATCACAATACACATACCAAGGGTTGAAAGTAATATACAGAGGTTACTTTCAAAGTTAGGTTAGAAATACTAACAAAGAGGGATTCAAATAAATAACATATCCACAACAAGGATATGCTACAATTTACAGACCGAGAACGGAAGAGTAATATTCAGAGAAAAAACTTGTTTGAGGTTTTTGAAGGAGAGAAAGGAAGAATGCTTGACAGATGTCTTGAGGAAGAACATTTCACAACCTGGGAGCCACAACACTGAAAGACCTGGCTCCCACACCTGACTAACAATCCCGCACTAGAAGATCGTAAGGAGTGAAAAAGTGAAGACCATTACTTGTTCACAAAATACTTATTGCCTTTCAGGTTGCAAAAGATATTTGTTCAAGCACTGGGAAGTCTGGTTTACTTAAATTAATTGGTTCACATTGCTCTGTTGCTTTGGACCAATAACAACTCGCTGTTTCAAAAGTCCATCCCAGAGTTTAGATTTTCATAAAAAAATCATATAGGCTAATTTATAAGCATATATATATATATATATATATCTTTCCGTACCCACTGTATATCCTCCTGACTACCAGGAAAAAACAGTTTTGTGAATTTAGTATTTTGTCATGTCATTACATTGTTTATATGTAAAAAATAATTAATAAAAAAATAAAATTTTTGAAAAATGATATTTTATTCACATGTTATGCCATGTTGTGTCTCCCAAAATGTGTAATAAACATGCTTTAAGTCCTGGTGTCCTCTACAGTGGACATGTATGAAATCGACGTCCTGTTTCATAACAGAAGCTCATATTTTGATTTGAAACCCCATAACATTTTCCTGAGATGTTGATTTATGACAAACAATTTGAAAATTAGTCAGATTTAAATGATAATTACAAAATATTATCATATTTCCATAAGGGTGTTACACTTGATCACTAAATTAATGTCAGCCATTTTTAAAGACCAAGGAGAGGGAGTGGTCATGGTGAAACATCCAATCATTTGGTATCGCTGAAAAGCCCTGAATGTGCTCTGCACAGGACATCCAGACTTAAAACTGTGACATGTGAGGTCTCAGAGAAATCACTAAAACATAATGTCCTCTACAGAGGACAAAACTCCATAGCTGGTAGTCAGGAGGATAAGGGTGTATATAGATGTGGCGCTGTGGAGAGAGGCTTCAAAGGTGTTTTTGCAGTGTTGAGCAATGTGACCAATCACAGACATGTCTGTTGAATTCATGAACACAATGACCAATCAGAGGTGCTCAAAGTGCTGGAGTTTTTGTTCAGAGCTGAGTTACACAAGCTCGTGAATCCTGTCATTATAACAAAGTGTAGACAAGGTGTAAATAAAAGATTTATTGTGCGATGTAGAGCTCAATTGATTTATAACGGAACTTTGTGAGATCGCGATAAACTGAAATGAGTGGCAACATTTGAGTGATTATAAAGGGAGTGCTCTGTGCGCTAAATCCATTCAAACTCTGAATAAAAGTTTCGTGAGTGACATCTGCATATAAATTGAATGGCAATAATTGACAGTGATAATAACAATGAATGATATGGGTCGCATCAATTTAAAAAGAAGAAAAAAGGTGCGCTCTGAAATAAGTTTGAAAACCACTGGGATAGGGTTGCAGGATCTAAAATATGATCATGACGAATAAAGCATTAATATGCACTTACCAATAAACAGCCAATATGCTAGTAGTATGCATGCTTGTTAACAGTGAGAATTGATCCTTAAAATAAAGTGTTACCTCTTTTTGCCAGATAAATTTTAGTCCTAAAGTGCTTTGCAGAACTCTCAAAAAGAACGAGGAATGATTCTTTCACAAATTAAACATTACTATTAGTTAATTTCAGATCTAATGTAGATGATTTAAATTTTTCCATTCCTGCTCCAGTTGCCCTTTCTCAGGCTTCCCCTCCCGCCCCTCGGTGCAGCAGTCCTCTGTCCCAGGGATGAGGCTGTCCTCCTCCTCCTCCTCCTCCTCCTCCTCCGCGGTGTGAATGAGAGAGGAGGTCAGTGCTGTTATCTGGGTGATCTCCAGGGTGCAGTATCAGCCCTGAACAGCACTGGTCCAGACACAGTCAGCGCAGCCCCATCAGCAGCGACACGACTGATACAATCTGTACCCCCCCACCCCTCTCTCTCACACACACACACTCATGTTTGTTTTTGTGAATTGTTGGGACATTCCATCCATAGGCGTAATGGTTTTTATACTGTACAAACTGTATGTGCTATTGCCCTACACCAACCCTACACCTAACCCTACCTCTTACAGGAAACTTTGTGCATTTTTACTTTCTCAAAAAAAACTCACTCTGTATGATTTATAAGCGTTTTAAAAAAAATGGGGACATGGGGTAATGTCCTCATAAGTTACCTTCTCCATGTCATTATGCAAATGTGTGTCCTCACATGTCACAAAAACGCGCACACACACACACACACACACACACACACACAC